CGTGCCTCCAAATAGCCAGGCAAATTAGCATAAACACAGAACCGAAAGCTGTCAGGGTAAGTCTTAAATTAAGCAGGCTACAAGAGGAGCTTGTGGTTAGCAAGGAAGGTTAACCACAGACAGCTCACATAAGTGCTATAGACGTGCTTCTGGCTCTTGGCCGGGTACAGCTGGGCACACTTCCTCCTCAGCCAAGAGCACTTCTGAAACCAGGACGCTCACTACACACCTGCCAAGAGAATGGGTGAATGAGGAGGCTCACTCTGCTCACTTTCCCCATGCATTCACTCTGATTCACTTTTAGTGTGTGAGTGTGTGTGTGTCTCTCGAGTGCATGCCTGCGTGCACCTGCACACTCATGTACAAGTGTATGAGTGGAGATCAGAGGACAACTTTTGAGATTTGGGCTTCTCCTTTCACTGTGGGCTCTGGGGTGGAACTTACGTCATCATGCCTGTGCAGCAAATGCCTTTACCCAACGGAACCTTCTTACCAGCCCATCATGCAGTCATCTAAATGCCCCCTCTGGTTAACGTCATGAATAGGCTGATTTCATCATACCACCCCTCAGTTAAACATCTTTGCACGGTAGTAAGTGGTGTGCCCCGCCCCCAGAGTGGGGGTGGGGGTGGCACTTGCGTGGCGTGCAGGAGGACAACTTTCTGATGTCAGCCCTTGCCTTTCCATCTGAGACAGGGCCTCTTTCCTACTGTACCGCCTGGCTAATTGGTCTTCTAGCTTCTGGGGATCCTCCTAGTGGTACTTTGAGTGTCATTGGCCCCCATAAACTCCTAGGGAGTGGCACCCGTAGGAGGTGTGGCTTTGGAGTAGGCGTCGCCTTGTTGGAGGAAGTGTGTCACTGTGCAGGCAGGCTCCTATATGCTCAAGCCACACTCTGTGTTACCTGTAGGATCAAAGATGTAGAAGTCTCAGCTCCTTCTCCAGCACCGTGTCTGCCTCTACACCACCATGTCCCACCATGATGATCATGGACTGAACCTCTGAACTGTAAGCTGCCACCTCATTAAATGTTTTCCTTTGGAAGAGTTGCTGTGGTCATGGTGTCTCCTCACAGCCATAGAAACCCTGACTAAGACACTCTTGTCTCTACACCCCTGCCCCCCATAGAGCTTCGCTTAGGTTCCGGGGATCCAAACTCATCACCAGGTTAAGATGGCAAGTGCTTTTCCACTGACTTGTCTCTCCACCCCTTAAGCGAAAATCACTATAATATTTTCATAATCTTATGTTTTCATAATGTTTTTCTTGTTTTCATAATATTTACCATTTGTTTTCTGAGGATTTCAGAGACACATACAATGGACTCTGATCATATTCATCTGCTACACTTTTTAGCTCTTACTACCGATATAAGAAGTCCAGTCTCCTGCCCCATTCAAACACATCACCTCCTAACAATACATACCCACATCCTTTTTGTGCCCCTGAAAACCGAATAAATCCTTGGTGCATGAATCAGTGCAGCGGAGAGCTCATTTCCTTAATGAAACATTCCGTGGGCGTGTTCAGCTTACATTGAATTTATATTTATCTAGTAATAGCCCAACACCTGGCTCCCTGGCTCATCCCCAGATCACACCAATAAACTCTCTAGAGGATGAAACCCTTCCCCAGGGACAGGAAAGAACAGGAAACCAACTGTAAAGACAAACACACACACACACACACACACACACACACACACACACACACACACACACACACCTTTTTCTTTAAAGGCAGTGAATGACAGTCTTTTATTGTTGCTGGCTCTTCCCCTTTTCCCCTCATAAGGTAATATTCTCCTGCCGTAGGAGACTTTGTCAGCCTTCATTGTTTGCTTCTCTGTCCCAAACACAGTAATAGTCGAGGCTTTAAATTCCCTGGTACACGTAGAGATCCGTTGGTAAAAATTTTTGCCTAGGCAACGTTATGAAAACGCAATTGGAATATTGTTTCCTAATGGAAGTATTTATGAAGAATAAACACTTAGCGGGTTTTAACGATCCACACTGGGCTAGTGTACGAGCTCTACTTTCAAAATACCTGACAGAATCTGACGGGGAGGAATTGTTTATTTTGCTCATCCCAGCAAAATGGTGCTAGGCCTGGCCCCGGGTGTTTGAGCAGAATAGAAAGCATGTGGGTCGGGGAGGCTGTTCTCCTCCCTGTGCACAGGAGGCAACACAGAGCAGTTCATGTCAAGGTGGGCAGGAAGCTCAACAGTGTGTAACTGTAACAGGTGTGGGCAGCATACAGCTAAGGACACGCCCACCCCGTGACCAGCCGGGCCCCACAGCTCGACCAACCTCCAGTGGCCTGGTGAAATTCTGAGCCTACCAATGGATCAAATCATTGATCAGGTGAGTGCTCTCCTGACCTAATTGTCTCTTCAGAGGTCCCCATGGACACACCCAGAGGCGAGCCTTACCAATTCCCTAGGTTCTTCTCTGTCCAGTCAAGCTGACAATTGAAATTGCCCTTCCCAGTTGGGACAGAAAGTATTTCACATCCATGTTACAGGCAAAATAAGGCACATGAGATGATTGGGGAGCAAGCTCCAGTAGGGTCTATGTGTAAGTACTGATGTTGGGACAGATTCAAGAGCAAATTCCTTCAAGGACACTAAGGGTAGCAACCCGAAAGGAAGTGTGAGTCCTGTGACAGCCAATTTTGTCACCAACTCAGATTGGTTTATGTTTAGCGGGTGGGACCCGGATTAGAACCAACATGTCTTAGGTCTGAGTTCCAGGGGCATTTTAATTTTGTCTTGGAAGTATTGTTAGGTGTTTTTAAATGGATTCCATAAACTTCAAGTCCATCTCCCTCCCATAGGAACTAGGGAGAAGACACAGGCCTGTGATTTCTTTTGGTGCTCTTTTTTTTTTTTTTTTTCTCCAGGGGGATCGATAAGAAAGGGTTTATTTGGCTCACAGTTCCGGGGTAAAGTCCATCATTGTGTGGACGTCAAGGCAGCAGGAACTGGAAGCAGTCAGCCACACCCGTGAGCAAGGAACAGAAAAAGATACGTGTGCACACGCTTGTGCTCAGCTCACTTTATTTATTATAAAATATTTTTATTAATCCCTAATGTTCGTTATCCACCCCCAGACCCCCTCTGCCCAATCCTCCTCCCCCTCCCCCCACTTAAACCTCCTTTCCCATGATTCCTTCTTTATCTTTCTCCCCCTCCCCACCCAAGCCCCTTTATGGTTTCCTGTCTGTTATAGGTACTCCACGTTTAACACCTAGAGCTGAAGATGGGGAGCTGGAAACCATAGAGTGAGACCATGGGATGTTTGTCTTTCTGGGTCCTGTTCATCTTAGTATAATGGCTGCCAGTTCTGTTCATTTACCTCCAAGTTTCATTTTTCTTTATGGCTAATAATACGTCATTGTGTATAGGTACCACGTTTTTATTACCAATCATCTGCTGATGGACAGCTAGGCTGTTTCTATGTCCTGCCTATTGTGAGTAGAGCCGTGATGAACATGAGTGAGCACAAGTTGCTGGAGTGGGACCTAGAGTCCTTTGAGAATCGGTCCTTCCTGTGGCTTTTTAAACCACAAAAGGGTTGAATAACTCCTGTTTTCCAACTTGGCTTTGTTTTGTATTTTGAATTTTATGTTCATTGATGTTTTGCCTATATGTATGTCTTTGTCAAGGTCAGATATATATATATATATATATATATATATATATATATATATATATATATATATATATATATATATATATATATATATATATATATATCAGGTTATTTGTGAGTTCCTAAATGCACAATGCTTGCTGAGTTCTTTTTGCTTTGTAAATACTGTGTGGAATGCCCTGCCCAGTGTGAATGGCTTGCAAGCCCACAGTTCTTCCAAGCACAGGCTGCAACACCATTGCTTCTACAGTCATGTTCTTGTCTAGAAAAAGGCAGGAGCTCTGTCCTCCAGAGTCCTGGTTGTGTCAACAGGCAGCTGGGTCTGCTTAACATTTTGTTTCTCCATTTGTAAGTAATTTCAGGTCAAAAATATGCAAATTGTCTTGTTTTCTGATCTCTTGAGTACCTAGAACAGTTGACTTTGTCAGCGATGAGAAGCGATCAGTGAAAGTGTGTGGACGGGTAGAAACTAGATAGTCAGCAGGGAGCAGTATATCCTGAGAGGAACTGAAACCTCCCCAAGAGATGTTCATTAAAAAACACAAAAACACAGGGCAGTGGTGGCACAGGCCTTTAATCCCAGCACTCCCTAAGCAGAGGTGGGTGGATCTCTGAGTTAGAGGCCAGACTAGCCTATAGAGTGAATTCCAGGATGGCCAGGGCTGTTAACACAGAGAACCCTGTCTCTAAAAACCCAACCCAACCCAACCCAACCCAACCCAACCCAAACCAAACCAAACCAACCCAACCCAACCCAACCCAACCCAACCCAAACCAACCCAAACCAAACCAAACCAAACCAAACCAAACCAACCCAACCCAACCCAAACCAAACCAAACCAAACCAAACCAAAACCAAAACCAACCCAACCCAACCCAAACCAAACCAACCCAACCCAACCCAACTCAAACCAAACCAAAACCAAAACCAACCCAACCCAACCCAACCCAACCCCAATCCAACCCAACCCAACCCAAACCCAACCCAACCCAACCCAACCCACCCAACCCAACTCAACCCAACCCAACCCAAACCAACCCAACCCAACCCAAACCAAACCAAAACCAACCCAACCCAACCCAACCCAACCCAACCCAACCCAACCCAACAAACCACCACCACCAAAAAACTCCCACAAAAGCAACTTCTAAAATCATACAAAACTGCTTTGTTTTGGGTATCCTCACATTATAGAATTGAAAACAAAAGAGAATAAAGGAGAGAGGAAAACTGTTTGGTAGCTTATTTCTCTAACTGCAGATTTCTTGTTAAGTCCCTAATGTCTCTGTGGGTCCTAACCCTGTGTCTCAAATCCAATCAGAGGTCAGTTACTGCGTAAGTTACTCTGTAGATGTAACCAACCGTCTTATTAAATAAGAAACACAGAAACAATGTAAAAGAGAAAGCCGAGAGGTCAGAGCTCAGAGCTAAAATCTCACCCTTCCT